TACACGACTCGATTATTCGTCGCGTCGATACGATTCTCGGTATTGGTGTTTGGCTTACTTGTGCAGACGCGTTTAAATGGACTCGTCCTGTGCGACCGTCCTTGTCACGTTTCTGCCCCATTTCGAGTGTCCTGATTCGTAGATAATCGAATCACGGCAAGTTCACTTCGACTTTCCTCACCCGTTCCCGCATGGCCTAATAATTTTCTCTCTCTCTCTGATAGCGTTTCGCTTTCGAACAACGTCCAGACCTCTTATCCACAGCTCGTCTTTTTTTTTTTTTTCTGGCATCCAATGTCGATCCCAAGTATTATTCGATCCAATATTTTTCGACCCAAATATTATTTTTCCAATTACATTACAGCTTGTTGAGAATGTTAATTTCTGAGAACGTTGATAATCCATTAATATGTTACTCGAGTAGATTGTGCATCTTTTATACAGGCATAGTTTTTACATTTTGTCAATTTTGATCGTTATAAAGACACGGATCTTGTTATATGCATTTTTTAACGTTCTAAATATGGTTCCATTCTCCAAACGAGCATTTTACCTTGAATGTTCTTTGTACTTGTTCATATTTTTCATATATATTTAGACATTTCTCACAATTGCGCTTCAACTTTGCAACTTTTTAATAAAGTTTCAAATCTACGCAATATTTTCATACAATTTCTCTTTTCTTTCGTAGAATATGTATCCACAATGTTTAAAAAAAAGAGAAAGCCGATCTAATTCCACCAACCCCTTAAAAAAAAAAACTGTCTTCTAATTCCGTTTTCTACGATGATCGAAGATAAAATTTATGCCTCGATTCGCATGGCTTCTCCACGACCGATTGTTTCCAACGATAACGTTTTTCCAAATAAATTTTCCCGCGGTCCCGCGCTTGGCCGGAATCGGTGACCTCGCACGATTTAACCGCGCATCGATCCCATCCCTACCCAAACTGTCTCCTTTCATCGCTCCACCCCCGCGAAACCATTTTCAAATTTCGCGTTCGAGTTTCACTGCCGATCGTTCTTTCCATTCTGCCTTGAAATATACCTCGTATATCACCCGTAGAAAGTAGAAAATTTTGAATTAGAATTGGAAAATGGAAGAAGTAACTGTTTTTTTTTTCTTTATATACGTGTAAGATTTTAAAATCATCGCTTTGCGTTATACTCTACTTATGAAACGTGTTAACGTATCAATGGGAACATGTTTGAATCGATTTTAAAGCGTAAAAGTTGGCGTGGTAAAAATATCGAAATTGCTTATTTTATTAGATTTCAAACGTTTTAAATTTGCGTAGAACAGAAAATTGCGAGATCCATCTTTGTTTTTCTTGTTATTAATTCCGATAAATAAATCGATATTTTTACAGTGATAATAAATTTTGCGCTTGTTTTAATATTTTTTCTAAGTATCGGATTGGAAAGAATATATCAACGTGTATATGAGAAAATAATTTTAATCGTCGTTTCCTTGAACTCTTTATCAAATTATTATTACAAAGGATCGCGATTGTTTCGCACCGTCGAGCAGAAGAGATAAATCGTTTATTTATTTATTTATGCGAAAATAAGAAACGTTTGAATACATATATCGTTAGATAATCGCAGATAAAGCTGGTTATATCCGGTTACTTGCTCGAATAAAACATGATCTTGCACATTGTATATTAATTTTACTTCGTAACAAAAATATATATATATTCTTTTGTTGAGATAAAATGTTTTAAGAAATGCTGATCTAAAGCGAGCAAGAGAAAGAGAGAGAGAAAGAGAGAGAAAAAGAGAAAGAGAGAAAAAAAAATTAAGACAACGCAGAGAAGGAGAAGGAATTTCGTTCCCTGGTTAATTTCTTTCGCGATTTATCGAAAGAAGATCAGTGGAAGTAGGAGTATACTTCCAACATTCGTAATGGTTTGCCTCGTGTTGCCAAAAAGTTCGTCGACCTACTAACAGGAAAAGAGAAGCTGCAGCTGTTTCGATATTTCGCGTTAACAAATTCCATGATTCTTTTTTTTTTTTTTTTTTT